AGGAATGGGAATAATTGTGTAATATTATTAAAATGCATGCACTTTAGGATCTTCTGATTTTGATTAATCATTGGTTCTTGAGACATGGGACAAAACCCACAATGATAACAGAGTAACATTTCCATGTTGAAAATAATCAGAAATGATCACTAAAATGTTCTTCACACAAATTTACCATTTCATTGGATTTCTCATTATTTTATCAAAATAATGGCTTTATCACTCACTATGCCTAAAACCACCTGTCCTCTGATTATAAACACTAAAAACACAGAAAAATATTAAACTTAAGAGAAACAGAAACACAAATTTCTGTTTTTCCATATTTTTTCCGATCCCTTTTTCCATAATTCACCTGCTACAAGTGGAGTAAAGTGACACAGACTGCATTAAAGGGATAATTCTATCATCCTTTATTCAGCCTGATGTCAGTCTAAACCTGTACAGTTTTTTTTCTTCTGCTGAACACAAAAGAATATATTTTAAAAAGTGCTGGTAACCAAACAGTTTTGATGACCATTGACTTCCATTGTATGGACAAAAAATACTGAGGCATTTCTCAAAATATCTTCTTTCATATTCAACAGAAAAAAGAAAGTCATACAGTTTGGAACAACATGGGTAAATTATTAGAGTTTTCTTTTTCTGAGGAGGATGGAGGTGTTGTCTCTTTAAGAAACATCAATTGTCTCTACAAAGACAGTTGGAATAGTGTCTGTAAGCTGTAACAGTAAAAAAAAAAAACTGTTTTCTGAAGAAAGTGTTTCCTATTGACTTGTTTACCATCTTCAGCTAAACCCAGTCCATGAGCTAAACACCTTTGAAATTGTAATTCTCTCTTTGGATAAATGCTTCCCTTTCTCTCGTCTGTGCAGATGTCAGGGGTCTCCTACCAGGCTTTAGCCCAGACCATGTATCAGTTGCTTTTAACTCAACCTTAACTTGCAAAGCTTTCATTTAAGGATTAAACAATCTGGCATGCCATAGTTACAACTGCTTCTGTTTCAGTTCTATCTGATTTTAGTTGTTTTACTTTTATAGCTGCACATTATGTGGATAGGATAGGTGAACCTGAGATTTACTTGTTGACTATACAGGACTTTTATCATAAAGAGTATTTGCTCATGGACAACAGCTTGAGGTTAAAGTCTACATTTAATTCAGGCCATCATTAAACTAAAGACCTTCTTTATAATGAAAACTTTTGTTGTATCAGGTGCAAAACATCATTGGCAGTTTGCACAATGACTGTATTAATATTGATCTCAAACTTGCATGCTTGTTGTTTTCCTCTCCTGGTCATCTGCCCTCTCACCCACATGACAACAAGGTTCATCTCTACCAATACATCTGATACAACACAGTGTGAGGCATAAAATGGCTTTTTGTCCCTAGCATCAAATGTATCAAGCATAGAATCATATCAGTAGAATAAATAGAATAAAGTGATTTTGTTTGCTTACAGTGTTAGGGTCTGTTTCCTGACTGACGGTCTCCACACACTTTTTAGATTCATTGTATCTGTGGTCTTTGAGACATTATATATGGTGTCTTTTAAAAGACATTATAAGTGATGCATTTTGATTATGGCTTAATGAAAGGGTTCTAAGGCACGCGTCACTCATTACCATAACAACAGCAGAGCTCTCGCGAGCGTGACCGACCACACACACACACACACACACACAGACACACACACACACACACACACAGCGTCACAATGCTCTACTTTTGAATAGATAAATATACAGTATATATATAGGCTACATAGGCCTATATGTAAGAAACAGGCCTATATGTAAGAAAATACTTGTTAGAATATATCACGCTCTCTGCCAGAATATTTCTGTGAGTTTGCCTGTCTGTGCTCTCACTCCCTCCTTTTTCTACCGGTCGCCGTGATTTTGCCAAGTAAGACATGTTCTCTGATTGGTTGGTTGGAATGTTGTTCCAGGATCAACAAGGATGTTGATCCAGGAACATGTCGTACTTGGTGAAATCAAGGTCACCTTTTCTACCCTCCCTTTCTCCCCTCTTGTGTTTTTCCTTCATCCCTTCTGTGTTCTCTCTCTCTACTCTCTGTAGTCTTACCTCTCTCTATCTCACCTGTATACACTCATGTGCATATACGCATATTTCTTCTTCGGTTCAAATGGTGAGATGATGGTGGGGGCCTTCTCAGACCCAGGTTATTGAGTTCGGTCTGTCCTTTGCTCAGAGTTGAGGTATCATTCTGCCAGATGTTCTCCTAATATGTCCAGAACTTCCTGCCCATCCCATTTTATATAATGCACAGATGTAATGCATATCCTATTGGATCTAGAGGTAGCAGGAAGTAAAACCCTTTGTTTGCCAAATGTATTCCTTATACATTCCTATAGCTATGATGTAGTGTATAATTCTTATTGGATAAACCACTACACCACCCCTTACAATGTATCTATAGAATCTACTGATCATTACAGATGAAGATGTTTGTGGACAGAGACTCCTTGTTCATGACTCTTCCCATGGAATCCATGCATTCATGAGTGGTGGGAACTGAGAATACTTTGGGGGCGACGAGAAATTTTTATTTTTAACAATACTATTAAAAAACACAAATAAAAAAAAATAAGCGGAATGGCTGCAGCCGGCTGCAACAGATGCCGGTTGGGTGAATTCGGGCGGTTTGTCGCGGACAATAAGTGACCATGTGCCGTCTGTTAACATACAGCTGTTGGAGTTGACCCACACAAAAGCGTCATCATGATATTTCCCCACCCATCCTCCGGAGCAGCCTGAGCGTCTCTGCATAGGCTACAACAAAACACACACACACACACACACACACACACACACACACACACACACACACACACAAACACATGTGCCTGCAGACACAAAGAACATGGCAAATAAAAACTTATGGCCTCGCCCTGCCCGCACGCGCCAGAGCGACCACACAGTCCAAGATTGAGTGTGAGTGTGTGTGTTTAGGGGACAGAGGAAATAATTAAAAACAGAAACGTGCGCTCGATAAAAGTAGCCTATAGTACTATACCACTCAGGAACCATAAAAAGTGAAAACATAAACATTAAAATATTTTTTTTGAATAATAAAAACAATAATTTAATAAAACATAAATATTATAATGGTTATTTTATTGTTAATATAAAAATGAATAATAAAAATAAATGTTCAATGTCAAAACATCTGTCTAAATCTTTGCAGAGATTTATACGGTCCTGTTTTATTTTCAAACAAACTTCACATACTTCCTTTATTTAGGATCATACATAGCCTAACTGTACAATTACAAAACCGTGCTCGCATTCTGAAGGATATGTAAGGTGATGTAAAGGAACAATGTAAGTAGCATACCTATTTGATTTATTTTGATTTCTAGCAACCATATTGTACCTGCTGGGAATATTTTCCATAGAGGCTTGATGAAGACGACTTAAGTTAACAAAACAAATCTAAATCTAAAACACTACAGATCGTCTACGTATGTATTAATCTATACATATATTTAAGTGCATATATTCAGTAGGCCTGCGAATATCGAACTAATTCTGAAATTCGACATAAGCGTAAAACTTGCCGTTTGCTATTTGTAATATCTCACAAAATAAAGAAAGCTTCATCAGGGTTTCATACTTGAGGATCCTGTGCCCATCTGTTCTGTATCACTGTGATTAAAATTCCTTGGTTTGATACAGACAGCACAGCAGTGTGGCTAACTTCAGCATTAACTCCATCAACACCACTGACACATGCAGCAGATCAGTTTAATCAGACCAATATTGCGCCATATGTCCCCCCTCTGACGTCACATGCAGGGGGGCAAGACGTATATAACCGCGTACATTCATCAAGACATTCATTGAAGACAACCCGCACTCGCTGAAGAACGGTGAGGACGAGAGAACGTTTCCTCCGAAGACACGCTGGACGTTAGTGGATCTGCCGAGGTTTTCGTACAAGGACATCTAGCTGTTTTTTTCTTGATCTCCAAACACATTGAAGCTTGGGAAGTAACGGATGAAGATACTGTGTGTGATTGTAATAAAGTTTAGGATTAACTGAGCGAGATGGCGCGTCTGTCTTTGTACTGCTTGCTGTCCGTGTCGCTTTTGCAGTTGGTAAGGAGCCAGTTCAAGGCTTAGGCTATACTTCACTCATATTTTCATTTTCTCTTTAATGTGAGTTTAGAGTATAGATATTAGTCTCCTGCGTAGTGTATTGTTTATTATTTCCAAAAGATTAAGAAATCGCATACGGTTTCTCTGTTCTTGAACAGGTGGCTTCATCGGGTGTATTTGAATTGAAAGTTCACTCGTTCAGCACGACACGTCGCTTCTGCAGGAGGACGCGAGACTGCAACATCTTTTTCAGGATTTGTCTCAAACATTCGGAAGACGTCATCTCCGCTGAACCTCCGTGCACCTTCGGAACCGGTCAGACAAATGTCCTGCGAGCGGACCAGAGCTCTATAGCCAACAGCGCAGCCATCCGGGTGCCTTTCCACGTTGGCCGGCTGCAAATGACTTGACCCTCCCACAAACACTGTTGCTTGTTCATGTCGAGAAGACGCTGTACGCGGTAGACCAAACACAATAGACTGGGCCATCTGACCAATCAGGGCAGAGTAGGCTGACAGGAAGGAGGGGTTTAGAGAGACTGAATCTCAGAACTGCTTCGAACTAATTGTTTGAGAATCATTGGAAAATGAGTTGATATTAAATGCATATTTTGAGAAAACGAAAGCATTTTTTGACCTTGCATGCATGTAAGCCAATTGTAGGAGACTCCCAAAACAATATTAGGAACATTAAAAATGGCATAATAGGGGCATTTTAATGCATTTTTATAAAATAAAAAAATGATGAAAAAATTAAATAATGTGTTTTTTTTTTCAATTTATGTGTCATGATTTAGGTTAAGTAAATATGCTCAGATGTGCTTTATGTGCATAGTGGATTTTGAAGATCTAAAATTATTTGAGACCTGAATTATGTTTACACCTTGCTAATATGTATATTCTTTTCCCCTGCAGGATTTGGAGAACGATTACTCCTGTACATGTCCTCAGGGATTCTATGGGAAGAACTGTGAGATCATTGCGATGACGTGTGCGGATGACCCCTGCTTTAACGGAGGGACATGTGAGGAAAAAATAACTGGTGGCTATGTCTGCCGCTGCCCCCTAGCCTTTACCGGATCCAACTGTGAGAAGAGACTGGACCGCTGCAGCCACAAACCTTGTGCCAATGGTAAGTGTTTGTGCTGATTGAGGACAATGCATCAACAAAATGTATTTTAATTAAAGGGGTAGCTCACCCTAAGGTAAAAAATTATTTCATTTACTGACCCTCATGTTGGGTTTCATTCTTTTGTGGAACACAAAAGGAGAAGTTTTGAGGAATGCTCACACTGTTCATACAATGAAAGTGGTTGACAACCACAGCCGCTTGAGCTCCAAAAAGGACAAAAGAAAAATCATTAAAGTTGCACTTAGTCTTCTAAAGTCTTCTAAAGTCATACAAGGTAGATCAGCAATCAGCAATTTAAGTTCACTAAAAAATCTTGCTTGACAGCTGTGGTCACCATTCACTTTGATTTTATGAAAAGAGCAGCTTAAACTTTCCACTAAGTGGTTTCAGTTCTAAACATTTTTTATGCAACCAAACACATACACATGTGCAACTATTACAGTATCTGTTACAGTTCCTCTCTACTATACCTACTCATATGTAACCTCTTCTTTCTTCGGTTGTAGGCGGTGAGTGTGTGGATCTGGGCGCTAGTGCTCTGTGCCGCTGTCGCCCTGGTTTCACTGGCTCTCGCTGTGAGATGAACATCGACGACTGTGCCCGCTATCCGTGTCAAAATGCCGGAACCTGCCAAGACGGCATTAACGACTACACTTGCACCTGTATGCTAGGTTTCACCGGTAAAAACTGCAGCCTACGAGCAGACGCTTGTCTCACAAACTCATGCCTCCACGGAGGAACGTGCTACACACACTTCTCTGAGCCAGTGTGTCAGTGTGTGCCTGGGTTCATGGGCCCAAACTGCGAGTTTCATGTGCAGGGAAGTATGGAGCTGATGGCCCCCCGGGTTGGTCGGAGCTCACCTTCAGCAGTGGCGGTGTCATGTGTGTTAGGTGTGATGGCCTTGTTTTTGGGAGTGTGTGTGGGACTGGTGGTGATCAGGAGGAGAAGGCATAGACTGCGTAGACAGCAGCTGTGTGAGTCTGTGTTTAATGATTTGGAGACGGTGAATAATTTAGACAGGCAGCACTATCCCTATGACAGAGACTTCGGTCAGGTGAAACCCTGCAACACTGAGGGCAGAATCTCTTTGGTGGCTTCTCACACGCTGCCTGCTGGGCAGGACTTCCTGTGGAGTGCTGGAGGAGGACTTAGATAAGGCAACACACACTTGTACACTCATACACTCAGTGTAGACACAAATGTAGACACGTAAGCATATACACAGACACACAAACTCACATGCAGGGATAAGAATTTGGATATAGCACTTGCTTTTGTCTTAATTATTATGAATGAATGAATGCTTGAATGAATGAATGAATTAAGGATGTAATGACTGAATAAGGGATTGGACCTTTGCCATCTGTATAGGTGGAAGACTCTGTAAACCAAAAGAAATAAACAAGCACATCATTGTGTGCTGGGCTTTGTGGATCTGTGTTTCCATATAAAGACAGACACAAGCCCTGAAAGCTGAAACAGACTTAGGGTGCAGAACTCTATATGCAGAGAACTGATATCTTTATACAAAGATAAAGAAGTGAAAATAACTCTATACAAAGAGAACTAAGTAAGGAAATACCTCTATTGAAAGAGAAGTAGGTAAATTATACTGAAGAGCATAAGGATTAGGTCTTCTCTAGTCAAACTCTGTATAGACTTTTCTCTCATAAGGATGAGACTATCACCTTTGCTTATTTGCCAGGATGTTGCCAGCAACAGGTGTTTTAATAAAAAAATAAAATAAAATAAAATTGTGTAGAGAAAGGAAGCAAGCAACAGTCAGGTATATGATTGAACTATGTTCTTTAGACCAAATGGTAAGATTTTGCTCCAGTTTTGTATTGCGTATTAAGCAGTGTGTTTTCTTCCTCGACTGGTATGGGGAAATCAGATTTTCTTCAATGGGGTTTATGTCTAATGAATGTTTATTTCTTTTAACCAGATGTTTCCTATTAATTTAATCCTAAATTTATGCCTAAGTTTCTATTTTGCATTTTTGTACTTTTGCTTTCAATCATTGTCTTGTCTTTGTAAAAAAAAAAAATGTTATTATGTTAATTTATTTTGTATGTGTTTGTTACTTTAATGAAAGAAATAAATTATATGAGAAACACTTCATTCTTTCAACTCTGTTCTTTTACAGTGTTTGATTAATAGCACACCATTTAGTTTTTTTTCTCTTACGTCATTTTAATGTATCTTATAACAATTAAAATGGCAGAATGGATTAATAAAAAACTTTTTTTCTATCCACGAACATCTGACGTACCTCTAATCACGTTGAGTGCGCGACTGCGCGTCACTCAGCGGTCAGCTTCGTCTGTCCGCGCGCTCCTCCAAGTGCTCATTTTCAGACAAGCACGGGCACGTGTAACATGGCTGAGGAGATACATACCGGTCATTCCCCGGATTTAGACAACTCTCGAGAGCACGGGATCAACTTCCATAAGCGGCAATCACGCGTTACGGTAAAATACAACCGCAAACAGCTTCAGAAAAGGTTGGACGTGGAGAGATGGATCGACGAAGGGTTGGACAAGCTGTACGAGGGCAAGGTGAGTGTCCTCGCGCATCCTCACAGGTTCAGTATTGACACTGGAATCTACAGGTTGATTACATTAATAATAATAAAAAGAAAACTTTTTTGATGGTGAAATGAGCGATAGCGCACTGTCGATGCATTTCCAAATGCTGTGTCATACGTTATTTGGAAATGTTTGACTGCTGAAATGTGCAACAGTTCCTTCTCTAAGAAGTTGACCACATACGTTTATACATATAACTCTCAAAATCAGGCTCAAATATGCATATTCACCTACTTTTCTCTTTAATAAACTAATTTTGTTAACAGGTGTTAATTTCTAAATAGTTGAATTAGTTTACAAACTAAAGTTATCTTGTTTTGTTTTAAAGTCCATGAACATGTATGCATGGACCAGTCTTTGTTTTAAAGATGTCTGTAGAGAGAATAAGTATCTAAAGAATTAGCTTGAATGTATGAGAAGTAAGTACATAAAATACACTTACCGGTAATTTATACCACTCAATGAAATTAAAGGTTGATAACACATTTGTCTTTTTTAAAGTCTGTATTTGCACCTTTAAATGCAATGAGGGGAGACATTGTTCTGCAAGTCTCATATTTATAAACAACAGCCTTTGTTAATGTAAGTGTGTGATGGATGCTATGACAATAATATGTCTTACAGAACAATATTAGTTGGATAATGTTAGATAAGTTGGCTGCCCATAAAAGGTGAGGAGAAGCAGGCCTCTGGAGGTACCAGGGGAAGTTCTGCTTTCTCTCCCTTATTTACAGAGGGGATCACTTGGTTCTATTGCTGCCTTACATGGGCACCCCCTGAGAAACAGTCAAAGGCAGCAACAAGCAGGATGTTTAAACTAAACATAAGCTGTGTGTGTAATGAGACGCTGTCCCACAGTAAGAGACGACAGAGATGTCTCGGGAATTGTGTTATGTGATCTGTTATCTCGATTTCCTCCTCAGCTTGTGTAGGAGAAAGTTTCCCACTGAGATTATGGAATATTGAGAAGATTTTCTGAGATACTGAAACTGTAGGCTGCTAAAAGGTCGAGGAACAACGAGATAATGGGCAGTGTTACGAACTGGAATACATATACATGAATACATACCTGTGCAGTGGTGCCATAATTGTCCTGTATGCTGTAATTGTGAGCTGCATGTCTTACAGTGGACTGTGTGGTTATTTATAATGTCAGATTACAGTTATATATTATTGGCTTATCATGGTGTCTTTTCTGCAGAATTTATTAAATTCTCATAGCTGCTGTTTTTTTTTACGTTTCTTTTCTTGAATGGTTCATTCTTTCTGCACCCATAATAATTTTTGTTGTTTTGTTTGTGTTTATTTTGGAGGACATGCCAGAGGAAGTAAATATTGATGATTTGTTGGATCTCCCAAGTGATGAAGAGCGAACACACAAACTACAGGTCCCATAATCCTCCTCTTTCACTCACACCACATCCTGTACTTGGTATGGGTCTTGCCATATTTACACGTACATTTATGCATTAAACGAATGCTTTTATTCAAAGTGACTTACAAAAGAGCGACAAAAGCTATTTGTCAAAGAGCCAACAATATTCATAATATACAATGTCAGGTTTATTAGACAACAAGATGCAGAAAATAAATAGAAGCGTTTTTTCCCCACTGCACTTGGAAAATCTCATTTCATTTTTTTATCATAAAAAATAACATGTAGAAGATAGGACCATTGACCTTGAAGTCAGCGGCCTAACATTTTACTTTTAGATGAAGAAGATGAGTGGATGCTAGAGCTTTTATACCATGTCCCTTGACCTGAGTATTTGCAGGGACCCCCTTTTCAACATTGTTCTCAGTACTGTACTCGCTTATGGACTATCCCCCAGCCTCTCATTTGTCTGAATGACAATACAGAACCATTTAAGGCTTTATGTTCTCTACTGTGTGCACATTAGTTTACAGAGTTATAAATAGTTTTGGTGATATTGACTCATTTAATTGAAGTACATTTAGATAAAGTTATTTACTACGTTAGTTATTTTAACGACAATCAAGAATGAATTTGTTTTCGTTTGTTTTACAGGTTCTTCTGCAAGCCTGCACTAGCAGCACTAAGGTACTTTTTTTCAATTCCTCCATCTGCAAATCCTTCTTTTTTTCGTCACCTCTCTTTCCTGACATTTTTCTTGTTCTTTTTTCAAACTTTCTGTCTACTCATCCTTAGTCCCTCTGTATGGACCTCTCTTGTTTTCTCATCCTTTTGTTACTCTACCTCTTCATCCCTCTATCCCACTCAATCCCTCTCTCTCTGAGAAACGCTGCAGTGGCTGACACTCCTTTCCACGCATTTCTCACAATGATCACAATAAATGAATGATTTGTTCTCTTTCTTTCCCCATGCCCCTGTTTCTCTCGGTTAGTACAGAGCCATTCTTTCATTGGGGCTCTTTAACAATGTTCACTCTCAGCCTTTCGATTAGTGTGTGTACATGACTGTTACTGTGGGTGTATGCGCAGAAGATTGTGTGACTCTGGGTAAGCTAGTTTTGAAGTGCTGACACATCATGGAGAATCAGTAGAGAGCAACGTGGCTCTTACCTCACACACATAAATAAGCAGAACAGCACACTGACATCTGAAAAACGTAATCAGTTTTCACATTTGAGACATACCAGGGCACAATTTTCACCATTTTCAATTTGATTAAGAACATGTTTTTGCTTAAACTAACGTGAGACGTGGCCAGAGAAATGGGGAAAAACGCATTTTGGAGAGATGTTTTTTAAAAGCTTAACTTATTTTAACTGTTTTATTTTAACTTGTAGAACGCTGTGTCCTTCCAAGATGCTGCAAAAGACACGAGTAATGTGCACAGTGATCAAACACGTCCATCTAGCTTGTGTTTACGTAGAAAAACAATGGAAAAGTTGCACAGTGGAATGGAAAAACATGTTCTGTGTGAATGACCCATAACAGTGTAAACAAAAACTGCTGACTGGTACACATACAGTCTGCAGAAGATATTTAAGAGCTTTCTCTGAACAAGAAGTAGATAAGTCAAGATTATTTCTGCAAGTTGTAGATTTTTCAGCATATTTTCCATAGGTTTTTGTTTTGATTTGTTTCAAACATTAAATCTACTATAAAACTATTTTGCACAAACCAGTTTGTGTAGTGATTAAGATAACAGGAACACTTGAGTATTTACAAAGTTTTACAGTACGTTGTCCTAAATTGCAATGTGTAAGAATTCACAAACATTTACATGCTTAATAAGAACAATTTCTATAAGTGTGTACATTTAGATTAAGGTTAATCTGTGTGTGTGTGTGTGTGTGTGTGTGTGTGTGTGTGTGTGTGTGTGTTCAGGCTTTTATTGCCGAGCTGTTGCAGAAGCTGCATGGTCTCCATAAACAGGAAGAGTTGCAGAATGAGGGAATAGAGCATCCCTGTCTCCACACTTACCCCCATCACCATGGCAACATCCATCATCACAGAGGCAACCATCAACATCCAACACATCAGACACTGTGATTGCAGTTTGGATAATAACACATACTCAGGACACACATACAATGGATCCAACTAGTTTAGCAACTCCGTAACTGTGAGGTGTTTGTTTACAAACTAATAAGAGTGGTATATTAATAGTGTTCAGTTGTAAAATTGTTCATCACTGTCGGTAAGTAAATCTATGCAGTAGCATTCATTTCTTTGCAGGGTTCTTGGTTGCTTGTTGACTGGGTTATGATTGATTAGTGAAACTGGCAGTATGCACGTTTACATTTAAAGCTTAATCTGGTGATATTGGTTGTCTTCAGGAATCTTTGTCTCCACAAATTCACAATAATATACTAAAACATGTTAACAAGGAAAACAAGTTAACAAGGAAAACAGGAAAGTACCAAATCTGAGCAGTCATTATATCTGTGGACATATTATTAAGGTTAATAATGTTTATGAATTGGTAGATTACATGCAATAAATGTTTAATAAAAGTAACAATTATTTTGAATTTGTGTGGTGTTAATGAAAGGTGAAGTTGAGCGTGACGTTGAGCTGGGGTGTGCTATAACATATCATCCACCAGAGGGAGAAGTAATACAGTGGCAGACGCATCCATTTCTCTGTATTTTACCTTAGTGCCTCTCACCTGTAGATACACACTAAACAACCAGGTCTACATGACACTAAGGCAGGTATTGATGGTGGTGGCTTTTATTTACGTCTGTGTTTTTACTTCTACACCAATTTTCAATATGAAAAGTTTTTGTTTTTGTTTTTTAGGTTATGCTGAATTGTCTGTAAAGATTCTTTATTATCCAGGTCATAAAATGTTCTAGTACAGTCAGTCTTTTTGACTCCAGGCCCTCCTTTGTCCAAGGCCTTTGTATCTAAGCTGATATATACTTCTGGTACTTCTGTTGTAATAAAAATAAACTGTAATAAAAATGGCGTTGGTTAACAGTTTTATTTAGTGTTTTATTTTAGCAATTAAATTAAGACTGTTAATATACATGTAAATGATTTTGAGACTTTTAAGGCTTTGATTTTTAAGATTTAAGGCCCCCCTGGAAGTTTGCTGAGGCCCCCTAATGGGCACCAGCGCCCTGGTTGAGAACTACTGTTTTAGTAGATTCATTTTAGTCAACTGCATGTGCTTGACCACTTATCCAAGAAGCCATTGGGGTTTGTGCTAAATCACTGGATTTCATACCATTCCTGAAGCATCCAAAATGTTGAGTTCTTGGGATTTTAAAGAACAATTAAAACCTCTGTGCTAAATGTAATTCCAAACCCTGATCCTGCTGTGTGTGCTTTAAAAAGTATATTTTTTATGGTGTCATCTTACATCACAGGTGTTTAAGTGTGAATTGAGAGTGTACAAAAAAACAAAACAAAAAACAGCTGAGGTGACTATAATCAAAATCACTGGAATATTAGGATGTTGCTTTTAAACTAATGAAATCTTAAATTTGAGGTACAGAACCTGGGGTCAAGTGTCTTGCACATGGACAGACTTGTGATAGGCTCTGTGCACTGAATGCATCTGCCAGTTACCAATTCTTGGTAATAAATGCTAAGCATTCAAATATGAGAATTACAGAAATAGCCCATTCCATATCTTCTAATAGGAGAGTTTTAAGAGTTTCAGTTATTATGTCAACTGTTTAAGGTTATTTACATTAAGAACATTATTATTATTATTTTTATTTTATTTTTTATTTTTAAAGTAACTTGAGGTGAATAGTTGTATGTTTATGTGTGTTCAAGAGTAAATCAACTTGGGTAAATCAACATGATTGCATATGTGAATATATGTGGACCTGCCTGTGTATTTAAAGCTGTACATGTGTTGTTGTATGTATGTGTGTGTGTGTATGTTTGTTTAGGGAGGGTGTCTCTTTTTCCTCAGGAAAATGCATCATCATCTGGTAGCAAACCGAACGGCGGCCTCCGACATTCCAATACAAGGCCCCAAAATCTTGGAGACAGACACACACACTTTGCCCCTCTCTTACTGATAGGCTCTCTATCACTCTCACAGACACTGGAATGGATTTGCCCTGAGCTGACTGCCCACTGCAGCATAAGGTAAGAGATGCATATGTCCTTGTGCTTGTATGTGTGTGTTTTTATCAATACATATATTTAGATTTTTATTATTGTATTATCAGTCAAATTCAGTTTTACAGATTTCTTTCTAAATACAGATGATAAATTAGTCACATGATTGTTTTAAGATTTGCTTATGTACTTCAGCATGTTATCAAAATTAAAACTACAATCCTTTTTAAAAAGGAGGGTATGTATGTAACACTCACAGTCTACTACTACTCTTGACATGCTAGTTGACATGCAGTTGCAAAGTTACTTATAGTTAGTAGAATGTCTAAAGTGTAACCTTATATATATATAAAATATATAACTAACTTTATAACTGTCCACAATAATTCAAATTTATATATATGACTTATATATAACCACACACACATATATTGTCTAAAACTCTTTTAATTAGTTATTCATATGCACTTCACAGTTGCTCCCTGATCTGAGCTCAAAAACATGAAATGGTGTTTAATGATCTATTATTTTATATTGGCGTAATAATTATTAGGTACTGTTGATCATGAATTTAATTAATAATGTTAATTGTTAATGTAAAAAATTTTAATTTATGACAAAATATACTCCAAATGCTTCATTAAGTTCTTGGCAAATTAAACAGCTCCAGCAATTTTCCTTCTTCTAAAAATTATACTGGAGATACATTTTATTTTATTGCTGTTTTGACCTTACTACTCCTGTAATTCAGGTAAACTCTACAGCTTTTGCTAATCAAACGGGAGCAAATAATTCAGTGCCCTGCAGACTGCTCTATGCCGCAGAGTGTATTTTCAGATGTGTAACTACAGTCCAACATATTTCTGAAGAGTCATCAGAAGTCCTGATGCTACTGAAGTTCACCTATAACTAGGGTGACCATACGGGACATTTTTACGGGACGCACCCTTGCCAGGATTTCTATAGGCCTATTGCCTAAAATATACAGGTTTTGGCTGTTAGCACTGTGCAGATCGATCGTTGTATGACATTATTTCACGAGAGTTATAGAGAGCAGAGCAGACGGCTCCTTATGCTTTTAAATCGCTCTCGCGGTACTTTGGTGTCATACAATGATCGGTGTGCAGCTTCAAGTCAAATGAACGAACGAACGAACAAACACGTGCGTGTATTTGCATCGCTTTGATCGTTCTCACCTTCTCACACGCGACGGGCCACGATTGGTCGATTATGTACAATACCTGCATGTTATTGGTCAAACTACTTTGGATGTTTTAGGCCAGGGATGCCCACACTCGGTCCTGGAGGGCTGGTGTCCTGCAGAGTTTAGCTCCAACCCTAATCAAACACACCTGAAGCAGCTAATCAAGCTCTTACTAGACATACTAGAAATTTCGCGGCAGGTGTGTTGAGGCAAGTTGGATCTAAACTCTGCAGGACACTGGCTCTCCAGGACTGAGTTTGGCGACCCCTGAATTAAACGGTCTTTCATATGGACTTCAGTTATTAAACATTCCACACAATATGTATTATATTGTATAGGTCTATATGTCTTTTACCTTGATTGTTTGTTGCTATATAGAACAGTTGAACAATACACAAGGTTAAAAAGATTGATAGAGTTGGAGCAAACAATGAAAGGGGGAGAGTGGGAGATGAGGTATACAGTGCCGCATTCAGTTATGGATTCACTTGTGGACTCACTTGTGAACTTTCCATCTGTTTCAAATTATTCCTCTCAGAGGCTTCAATTATTTCTTCAGTCTTCAAGCTAAAATTAATGACATGGTGTGTAGTGTAATCAGGGGTTGTAGAGTGCATGAATGTAGGAGAGAGAGAGAGAGCATAATAACAGCATGTCCATGACAAAGCTTCTAATGCCTCTTTATGACAGGACAACACACTATTTTTCTAGAATTATGTAAAAACAATTCATATTTTCATTATGCCAAAATTAAGTTGTCAGGCAAAAGAAATACGCTTTTAAAGGCAAGAATCACTATTATTATTGCTCATAATTATTGCTTATGGAATTAAACACATACCTAACCCTTTGTATTAACCCTCAGCACGTGACTTGTCCCACACTCTTTGTATTAAGGACATGAATTATGATTCCAGTCTTGTAGTTTATTGAGCAGAAGTGTACATTTACTTATCTAAGTTATTAAATTCATTTGGCAACACCCTGGCAACCACAGTATCCTGGTATCATGGTAATGAATTTTGCATGGTGAATAACAACTAAAATTAAAATAAAGTTTAAAATCTGTTTCTTCCCCATCTTGTATCTTTGCCTCCTGCTATTTTTGGAGGCAGTTGCCATGTTCACTCCAGAATCCTTCTCTTGCCTTGGACACTCCCCAATTACTTACAAAAGCATTTTTCCTCTGTATAAAAATGTTTAATATGTTGGAGGGCTGGTGTCCTGCAGAGTTTAGCTCCAACCCTAATCAAACACACCTGAAGCAGCTAATCAAGGTCTTACTAGGCATACTAGAAACTTCCAGGCAGGTGTGTTGAGGCAAGCTGTAGCTAAACTCTGCAGGACACCGGCCCTCCAGGACCGAGTTTGGGCACCCCTGTTTTAGGCAATATAAAAATCCTGGCCAGGACGTGTCCCGTATAAATGGCACATATGGCCACCCTACCTATAACTAAAAATGGATAATCACTCTTTTATTCAATTTGCCTGTTTTTTTTTTTACTTGTTAATTGTACTAATTAATTGTTCATATGATACTTATCTGATGCTGATAGAGTGAAATCCTTTGCCAAGCACTTTTTTTTTGCTAAAACTCAGCAATTCATTGTGCTTTTATTTAATTTATGTAGGTAAACAAGCTCCGGTCCAGACTATTAGATTCTGTGGTGGCCCTGTTCCTAGTTTTTTTTTTCATCTGTTAATGTTTGTTTAATATTTGTTTGTCTCTAAACATATACATATTATTAAAGAAATACACATCTCGTTCCTTTCTAAACATCAACATTTACAAGTGATGTTTTCCTGTCTTTTACAGGGAATTATGTAAGAACAAAAATACTTGCAGAAGGTCCACCTGGAATCCAGACAATAAATAACCAAATGGATCAGTTTAATTGTAGTACTCATTCAGCTGACGCAAATGCCTTGCTGAAAGGTGCAATGGTGATGGGTTATGATTGATGAAACTAAAGAGTTTGAACCTAGAACCTTTTGGTTCCCAGCCCAGGTCTTTAACCACCACAACAGGGGAACTCTGTGCAGAAATAATGCAAAGCAGGGATGCTGAAACACAATCACAGGGGTCACTGTGTGTTACACAACAGCACCTTCCTCTCTCTTCCTTCCACCGTTGCTCTCTCTTTCTCTCACTCTATCTCTCACTTTATCTTAAAGGGGTCATAGGATGCTACATGCACTTTTACAAGTTGTTTGAACTGAAATGTGTGTTGGCAGTGTGTGTACACAACCACCCTATAATGATAAAAATCCACCCAGTGTTTTTTTTAAATCTGGTTCAATGTTTTCCCCTTTCTCAAATCGAGCCGATCTCAGATGCCTGTCTGTGTGACGTCACACAGACAGGCCCCTCCCACGATAGTTTGATTGACAGTAGCGTTTCAGCACAGACTGGACTGGTGTCTTACCTTAGACCCGCCCTGGGTGAGCTGTCATCAGTCCGCCATTGTTTCACCGCTGGAGCAGATGTAGACAAGAATGACTCCTAAGCGATTGAGGTGTTCTGTTGTTGGAAGTAATAATGAACATAGCAGTCGTCATTTACTCCCGTCATCTGAGCCACTGAACTCGCAGTGGATTACATTGTTTCTGAAGGGAATGCACCCCCGATCTACATAAATGCGTCTAT